AACCTGCACCCTAAATAAATAGGGCTAAGGCTGGGAGTGGGGGAAGTGGGGCACTGAGCGATTAGAGGACTTGCTCAAGGTCACTCAACAGGTCAGTGGCAGAGCTGAGAACAGAGCTGTGGTCTCCTGGCACCCAACCCTGTGCCCTTCGTACAAACCCACACCGACTCCCGGCTCTGCTCCAGTCTCATGGGTGGGGAGGGCTACGCCACTGCCTACGCAGACAGTTTCATAGTTTCATAGATTCATAGTTTCATAGTTTCATAGATTACTGGAGCCCACTCCTCTGTGCTTTGACACCTGTGGTATACGCACGGGGGGGGCAAATACAGTGAGTTGTCCCTTGTCCTAAACCAGATATATAACCAGAAATTGCGCAGCAGCCCTCTCAGCTCAATGCCAGGTTTAAATCAGCAGAGTGACTAGGAAGGACACAGTCCTTGCCTGTCAAAATCAATACGCGGAGGGTGACAGTCTATGACACCTCCTTCTCATGGATCCAAAGGGAGAAAAGGCTTCCTAGACCAGCCGGTCTCCCTACCCACCAAGGTGGGCTTTTCCTCTCATACCCACAGAGATCATCTCATCCTGTGCTTAGCTACCTCTGCTCAGCTACTGTTGGGGGAGGTCTGACCTGGAAATGGGGGGCGGAAACTATTGCCCAGAAATGCATTGCTCTGCCATCTGGGCTGACGAGTGACACAGGGATAAAGGAGTGCTCATGCTCTCTTGTGCTGCTCTGACATGAAAAATGTCCCCCCCTCCCCATGCCTGGGGGGCTGTGTAGGAACATAGGACTCAAAGAGACCTCGCGAGTCCGAGTTCAGACCCCTGTGATCACAGGCAACTGTGTCTCGGTCTCATTCATAATCTGATCACGGTGCATTTTAAAACTACTTAGATTATTTGGGAGCAGGCAGGTTTGCCAAGTACGGTCTGCCTTGATTTTGCCACGACATTTGCAGGGGCGGGATCTTGTAACCTCTCGCACTTTAATTGGAGAAGCAGTGGTGCCCAGTGCTCCCTAGATGCTTAGGGAAAAGGATCGCTAGATGAGACATAAGCAGGTGGTAAAAAAAGAATCAGGTCCTCCCAGAGTTTTAAGCTGCAGCTTAAAAATCTTGTCACTCAATAGCTCCGAACATCGTCCCTTGTGATGTCTGGTTCATTAGATCGCTGGTTGCCTTCCAGCATAGACAAGGCCTAAATTTCGGAAGTAATAAAAGTCAAGTAGCAGAACTTACAGCAACACCCCATCGCACCACAAACAAGCAGAGAGACATTGCTCTCCCCCATCCTTCGCCAGTCGGTGACAGCAGGAGCAGTCAGCACGCACTTAGGAAGCACTGAGCCCAAGTTCTGCTCACAGCCATGTATGCATGACAGCTGGGACTGGCAGCACTGGATGTTGAGCTTTTAATTTACAGCTGATCAGCTGTAAAATGCTTCCACTCTTCATCTGCCCATGATCCCAGGTTCAGTTTAAACGGTAACAAGTGCTGCTTGATCGGGACACAGCTAGCTAAATTGCTGGCTACAGAGGCCACGTTCAGTCTGTGAGCAGGAGTCCTGGCGATTTAATCCTATGTGCAGTTCTAGGTCGTTCCCTCCCCTGAGCAGGGTCACGGCCCATTTAACAACTCGCAGACCCAGCTGTGTTACAGTCCTAACTTACCACCTGCGGTAAAGCAGCGGTGATGGTAACTCAGAGATTGGTGCTGGCTTCTTCCTATAGGCAGAGCCTGAGAGCCAAAGGCACAAGTAATGCACTGCAAGGCACTGATGGTGTTTGCTTCTTTTTCTTCACCTCGCAGTGAAGTCGACCAGGAAGAGAGTCTACTACCCTGGGGGTGATTTACTCGAGTATTTTCACCCATCAAACAGGGACGGCCTTTCCATAGAGTGGTATGGGGTGGAACGCAATGAAAGCAAGACATCGACATGGTCCATGCTTACAGGTGACTGTCACACATTTCCCCCCATCGCCATCTGAAAAAAAAAATCTAGGGAACGTGGTTTTATAAGAGGGAGAACAACTGGCACTCCCCAAGCGTTGCAGTGCACTGTGGCGGGGAGGCTAGGATCGCAGCAGATGTGCGAATGAGCTGGTTACAGACAGAGCCAGGAAAAAGGCAAGGAAATGAGAAGTTAGGAATAGGAAGGAGGAGGGATCTGTGAGATGCTGAGTTGCGAACTCCGCACCGGTAACGTCAATAGATAAACCAGTGGCACGGGGGGGCAGAAGGTGGGATATAAATGGGCTTAGTGGGATGAATTACCACAAAAGAAGACCTATAAGCCGACTACTAGGAGAACCTGACCCAGCAGTAACAACTGTAGAATAGCCTGTGCAAGGTGCAGGAAGCACTAATGGTGCATGATTCAAACCCAAGCTGTTTCAAGCAGTTGAGGATCCATCATGAGCAACAATCCTAGGTTAGAAATGGGATTCAGATGACCAAGTGATCCTGAGCTAAGGGCCAATAGTCTACAGGAGGTATAGCAGCAACTAGGCCTCCAGCAGCATGGCACTGGTCTACCAGCCAGGACTGCAAGGCATCGCAGGGACTGAAGGAAGCTGAGGTGTGTAAGAAGAGTGACAGCTCTTGTCTCCTCCAGTGCATCCTCGGGTAGATTTAACCCCACAGCTGGATCAGTGCGTTCGGTTAAAACAGTCAAGACAATAAGCCCATTGGGAATTAGCTGTCAAATTAATTTTACCCAAAGCCAGATACAATGGAAACATTACACGCCCCAAATTCTCAGTCCTAAATTACACCTACCGGTAAGTTTGCTGCATCCAAGGGCCGCTTCTGCTCAAGTTCATAAAGAGAAATCTCCTCTTTGGTTTCTTTTCTAGATAGGAGCGGCATGATCATACTGGACGTCGCTGTGCAAAATGGCACTGGTGGAAATCTCATACCAGTTGCATCAACAGGCAGCCCCTTGGAAGAGTGTCTAGAGACAATATACAGGAGCCAAAACCCGTGGGGCATATTCCTGAACGTGACAGAACCAGGTGCACTTCACCCCGCGTTGGAGCTCCTTAGTACGGCCTATGCCAAGAACCGCTTATGCAGCCCTGTATGGGTTAGCCTGGCCGTGTCCTACAGAAGCTTCAACACACCGGGCTACATGCACGGGGAAGACTTCCTGCATGCCATCAACACCATTTTCCCTCACGTCACCATAGCCCCTTGCTGGCCCAGGGAAGTGCTGACTGATGGCTACACTGACCTACTGATAAAAGACATGCTCACACTCTGCAAGGGGCTCTGGCAACGCGTGTCATTTCAGCTGGAGGCAGTGCTGCTCGGTAAGTCCTGGCTACCTACTGCAAAGCTGCTGGAGGCATCGCCCAGCTACACCGTCACAGTGCGACACAGCTCTTCAGAGGGTAGCGACTGGGACGGCTTTCCAGGACTTCGGTCTATCAGTACTCAAGCGCAAAAAAGGGTCTATTATACCAAGGCAACACAGAAATGCTTTCGTGGCAGATGTCTAACAACTTAGAATTTCTCTGAAAGTTTGGTAAGTGGTTTGGAAAGGTGTTTCCCAAGCTCCACGGTTGGTCAACTGTCTGTTGAGGTTGGAGCCACACCATCTTTGTAACAGTGTAACCTGCCTTTATGTTGGCATTAAAACAAGAAGAGTGGACAAACAGCATGTAGCCTTCCACAAGCATAACTTGCAAACATTCAGTATAGATTTATCCTGGGGAAAAATAACAGCAAAACTATAATGGTGGTCATCACACCATGCGTGCCCATAATGAGCATGGGGTAGCACTTTGTTCGGTCTCTCTGACTGCCTAACACACTGCCCTGACCACCAGACCCAGGTCAGACTTTATGCAACCCCATCTTCAGCTGTCCCCTTGAAGCGGGTGCTCTGGGAAGCCAAGACGGGGAGATACCGGGGCGGGGGGAAGAGGAGAGAAAGAGCGCGAGCACGGTGGTGCGGCTCAGGGAGTTGGCTCTTGCCAGAGGTGGGGGGAAGCCCTGGGCTCAAGCTTGGGCCCTTGCTTACAACAGAGCAGAAACTTGCACAATGGGCTCTGTCCATTTTGTTCAAGGACTATTACAGAGAAGGTGGGGAGGGCGACAGAAGGGAGTGGATAATGCCTACCCTCCAGTCATCATGAACTAGGATGTAGGTGCAAAGCCCTTCTTGAGGCAGGGAGCCCAGAACCGCTGTGCAGCTGATCTAACGCGGCTCCCCAGTGTGCAGGGCAGGTCTATGTTACCACAGGGCACGCATGCTAACACTGCAGTGATGTGCCTGCGTACGTGCCCTTTAAGCAAGCAACGTGAACAAGGGTCCTGCCTACCACTGCCTCTCTCCATTGTAGTGGATTGCACACTCTTTAGGGCAGGGCAAGGACCATCTCTTTGGAGCCTGAATCTCTGCACAGGAGATCGACTGGAACACACATCAGTCTATTTTAAACACAATATGAAAATAGTGGAAGCAGCCAAGGACATCTAGGGCCTCTATTACTAAATTAATACTAATTATCATTATTGTTTGCTCAGTTGGGATGTGGAGCCGTTCCACTGGACGCAGTGGTTTTGGGGTTTCGTGAATGGACACTTGCGGCTAAGGCACAACTCTCCACATTGCCCCATTTTCCCAGTTCCCCTCTCCTTAGAGAAGGATCATTCAGATCTGTTTGCTTCAGTTCACCTCCAGGAAATGTGCTCATATACCACAAACCACCCTGCTCCTCCCTACCTCCACCCCAGTTCCACGGGCATTGTGTGGTTAGGAGACCAACCTCAGCTAGATGTGGGCGTAGAGCCAAAGGGGATCCCCTTCCCCAAGAAGAGCTGTGCGTAATTCATGGCCAAACATTCGCATTAAAAAACACATGCACGCGCACACACACTGTATTTATGATGTGCTTTTATTGTCACTTCTTCCATGCCCACCTACAGTCATGGTCAGCGGCAAAACGTCTTGAGTTGCCTTGAGGGGATCTAGAATATAGCCTGGAGAAATCTGGATGGAGAGTCTAATATTTATTGTTCAACTCAAGTAGCTTATTAGACATCACAGGAAAATGGTTTTCAAAGCAGAGGCACTCTGGAAATTCAGCCCTTTGTTCCCTAGTTACTAACAAGTAAGGAAACATTTCCTTAAAAACTGCACTGCTGCTGCAAGAAGAGTCTGAGACAAAAGGAATCAATTTTCCACCACTGATAGTTTCATCTCCCTCAGCCTTAGGCTGATCAAGGAAAACATGCGGTCACCATTCAAGGAAGACCCACGGAAAAGAGCTATGATGAGGTCATAAAGGCAATGAGTTGTTTTACTGCTGTCCCCATTATATCCTGGGAGGAGACAGGGCATGAGATTGCAGCACACAAATGAGGTATCCTACATCATAATGCCTAGTGTGTTGAACATGAGTACCAGGTTGCCATAAAGCAGGCTGGATCCCACCCACCCCCACCTCCACCCCACAACATGCCTGTCTTCATTTACTATACTGGAGTAAAGATGGCCACACTCCCCCAATGGATTACAAGAATGGGTGGAAATCCTCTGGGTAGTGGTTATTTTCATTCAAAGCTTCAAGTTTGATAGATGTTGCTAGAAAAGTTTATTCCTGTGCATGAGGTTACAGCATTTTAAACAACCCTTTTAGTTCAATAGATTACACTTCCCTCTTTCAGTGCAAGGCCAATGGCTGCATGACAGTACTGGCCAACACGGGGCCCCTTTGGCCAACCTTCTTGTTTGCTTCAGTTTCTTGGAGGGCCAAATTTTGCACTCAGGTGAACACGCCAGACCCACCGGAGACCTTACAACTGACACAGAGGTTGACCCCGGTCTTCTTATAAGTGTTCATCTCCCTTCTCTTTTCTGATTACCACCGTCAAGCATGTTGGAGTCTGAGCTCATTTCAGTTGTACTGCACCAGGTGGATTTAAAACTACCGTTCTTTACTAGCAGGGCCACCAGCTGTATCTAACTAATCACTCATTCGAAGAAGGCCAGTTTCCCCTGCCACCTGCATTTCACCTAGATCATTAGCTTCAGTATGTGCATACGACAATCCCAAAGGCATTGTGGAAGAAGTGTGGACAGTTACAGATTCTGGAGCCCGACTGTGATATTATCTTTGTTCTTCATCAGGAATCTCTCACAGGCTTCAAAGGTGGCATAGAAATTTGATGACAGTCCTGCGATGTTAGCAGTGACGTAGTTTAGGTATCCTGGAGTAGCTTGGTTGTAATAGGCCACCTGAAATCCACAGCACACAGAGGTTACTGACTCATGATGCATCCCTGGCATCCCCCAGCAGCACAGCAACACTGCCTTCCTCCATCCACTATTTACCAGAAGCCACTCAAAGAGAGGGTCTAGTATGGGCAGGCCACAAAAACACCACCTACTCTGATCCAACGGCTGTAAGTTGCTATATACCTCTGGGTGCAGAAGGACGGCACCCTTTGCCCCCGTCAACAGCATGAAACAGCAGCTGTGGCAAAGCTGCTCTGCAGCATTGAAGAATAAAACGTCCCTTCACTGTTTAGTCATCCACACGAAAGTCTGGGGTAGGGCACTTCTTTAGTGTTGGGGAGTGTGAACACTGAAAGCAAAGCCAGCTGGGGGGCGGAAGATGGGAAAAGCTGCTTGAATATTGGGCATGAGCTACCTGAACGTCTCGATTTCCTCTTTTCACGATCAGTTTGTGTTCATGTTGGCCAAGACGCTGCACCCGTTAACCAGCAGGGGAGAAGGTGGGACAGCCAGTGACTTACAAAAGGAGCTTTAATGTGGCTAACGCTGCCTGGCTCGCAGAAAACGTTGCCGTCTTGGAATTTGGTTTTGGTCTGTATCGCACTGGAATGCAAATTTCCCAGCTAGCCTAGCTGTGAAATCGACGAGGATGTCGATTTCACTCGTGAGCTGCAGGGGGCTGCCAAGGGCCTCAGCCTTGGCACGGACCTGCCAGATGCGTCTGGCACCAGGCAGGAGCTGTGCAGCTGCAGTTGCAGGCTGCAGACTGCCTGACAGGGAACCCGGGTTCTCTGGGAACTTTGCTATTTGCCAAGGGAGGATCATTGCGACGCGAGCAGGTCCTGCTTTTTAAACAAGGGAAGGGGAGAAATGGAAGGATTCGAGAGATTTCTCCCGCTTCCAGCACCGTCACCGCAAAGCAAGGGGGTGAAATGCCCGAGCTCCAGTCCCTCCTTTTTTTTTTCCCTCTTATGAAGCACAGTGGGAAGCTGAATCAAGCACTTGTACTAAAACCGAAGGCCAGCGTGTGGGAGGCTCCTGGGTCTAGCGCTCAGGCAAAGTTCACTGCGCTCGTTATCTGGGATCAGAGAGTAATCAAAGGGCTCAAAGTCTCACCTTGGCCAGCTCCTCTGTCTCTTGCCAAATGCAAAAGCCTGAGCACAGCGTCTCCCCTCGGGTATACTTGGGGTTTGCCGGGTGGGTGGGCAGCGTGACTGACCGGAACGCGACAACATATGGGTCACTGGAAAGGAAGGAAACCCAATTACAAACTGGTTACAAGTGCATCGGAAAGGTGAGAAAAACACGGGTTTTTATATCGGCTTTCAAATTAACCAGGCCCATTGTTCAGGCCAGGACCACTTGGCCAATATGGAAGGGTGCACAGAGATTGTCCAGTCCCATGGTCAGGAGTCTCCCCAAGCACAGGAGAGATTTCAGCCTGAATCTAGCAGAGCAGGGCCTCAGACATCAGTCCCCTGTGTTTTGTGCGGATACCGGGGTGCGGAGAGACCAGGCCCTTGCTCTTGTGTTGAGCAGAAGCTTGGATCCTTGTCAGAAGCAGCCTGTATGTTTCTGGGGATCTTTTGGATTTCTGCAGATCGCCTTTGTCCAGTTAAGAGATCTCAGCTGTAACAGTCTCAACCCGCTCTAGTTAAAATCAGGTGCCCACTTTGCAGGAACCCTCAACACTGAATACTAAATAATAATGCTGGTAGAACGAGCACCAACACGGTCATCCCCGTTATGTGCACCGACAGCCGGTACGTGAGGACTGATGGGCAGGGACCAGTTCATAAAGCAGGCACCACCGATACGTCTGAAGTGCAATCTTAGGAAGCCGGGCCCAGTCACTTACCCTTTGTCACAAGGCTGTCTTCGCGAGGCCAAGATGATGAAGTCTTGAGGTTTGTTTTCTAGGCTGTTGGTTTGAGTGAGCACATGGTAGATCATGTCATCGTTGTCAACCTGCTGGACCAGGTCAGCACTCCTGGAAAGGACCACAAGGGCATTCTAGAAAGGATTGTCTGAAGCCATAAAGGTCATTTTATTTTCCCACAATTGTGGGGGGACCTTCCCCCAGGAGCTCTGACATTACACCTGGCTCTGTTTCATCATACAGCGGCACGTGGCAGTCTCGGACTGGAGCTAGTTCAAAGCCAGAGAAGAACCGGCAAAATAAAAATACACCTAGCCAAGCTCTTGATGGTCAGGGAGGTCTGGAGAAAAGCTTTCTTCACTGAAGTGCAGCCACCATGGCTGATTTAAATAAATAGGTCAGCTCTCCCAAGGACTATGGGGCAGTATTTTTAAACCCATTTAAGTGCCTGTAGATGCAAAGAGGCCCACAAGCGCCTAATTCCCACTGTGTCTTTAGTGACCTTTGCAATGTGCTATGAGAATGGCACAGAGTATCATTTCCCTAACAAAGATATTAAGCATCCCAAATTATTCTTTCTGGTCAAATCCTGAAGCCCTTCATTAAGCTGAGTGTGTGTTGACTTTGGTGAGGATTTTGCCCCATAAGAGGCAAGCAAAGAGCATGAACTAAAATCCCTGGGCTCTGGACCAGATTCTGGGTAAAAGCTTTTGACTTTATGCATTGCAATAGTATTATGGAGTAGGCTCCACACCACTCTTGTGCAGTGCCTCTTCCGGTCTGGTGTGGTTTAACACCTGTCGTATTTGGAGGATGGGGTCAGATCAAGTTCACATTTTCAATGGGATACTTAGGTTTTAATGAAAGATGCAAGGAAGAAGTGTGGTTCAGTAGCTAAGATTAGAGCCAAGGAGTTCATAGGTTCCCAGTGAGACCTGAGAAGGAGTCATTTTGAAGCACCTTACAGGTCAGGAAACCAGCTGTAAAACGGTGAAAAAAGCCCAGTTACTTCATTGGTTATCTTACTGCACCTGGCAGCAGCACCCTCAGACACATCACACTGCTCTGGGCATGCTTCCTCCCAAATAAGCAGCAACATAGCTATGTCCTTGTGGTGCCAACGCAAGCTCATTAGCATGGGAACTGGCTACATGGCAGCATCCCTCACAGTGCTAATTAGCTCACTGGGAGTGCTGTGCAGATGCAGCGACTCTGCTTCCGGTTTCAGCGGCCGCTTGGCCAGAGCAGGGCCAACGTGACCATACACCCAGCAGAAGGCAAGTTATGGCCCCAAGGCAACGTAAGATGAAGGACAACTTTGCTGGCTGCTCCTTTGATGAGTTACGTCCTGCATTCAGTGACGGTGGACTAGAGGGTGGTTCTGAGAGAGCGAGTGCCATGCTTCAAAGAGTGCTTAAAACTGAGCCCTTCTCCTGTCTAGTTTCTGTTCAGGTAAAAGGTAAAAAAACAAACCCACCACTGCACCTCCAAATAAAGACAAGCTGCCTGCACGTGGGTGCCCTTGACACCATTCCTCTTCTCAGTAAAATAAATCCTAACCAACCTCCAAGGCCCGGAGGAGCTAAGAGCTGATTCCAGTCATGCACGCAGACAGCTACAGCATGACCCAGTGGGCACAGCGACTGAGCTGGGAGATGGAGTATAGCCTTCTGTTTTGGAGCTTAGGTGATAGGAAGCTATGATCATAATCACCCCACGTGGGAAAGCAACACGTACTATTTGAAGACCCACCTCTGCAGGTCGACAGCCCACTGCTAGGCTGGGTTCTCAAATAAAGGTCCCGAGCCAGCAGAAGTGCCACCAGCAGGCAAGCAGGGCCCTCAGCTGGCTTGCACAAGTCGTTGGTCTAGAGGACGCAGAAGCCGGCAGCTAAAGGAGATTCTCCTTGAGCTCATCTAATAGAAACATGAGTTAAGTCCTGGCTTCTGCTCCACAAGGCCACAGAGGAGCAGTGTCACCAACAGCTCTGATGTCTGGGTGCGTGCAGCCACACTACGGGATCCGGGTTTGGGGGTGCGTTGCGGACAAAAGGGACGTATATCCTGCCTGGCTGGAGTGACAAGTCCTGCTCAGCTGGAAGAGCCACTTTGAGGCAGGGACACCAAAAGGAAGGAAGTTGGGGAGTCCCGTCTGGTCAGACTCCTCCTCCTGTCCCCGTCCCCAAATAAACAGAGTCCACTGACCACAATCTTCTAAGTACTTACGCATAGTGACCATCCCATTCACACCTCCGCCTCAAGTCGGAGAGAAGCCAGAAGGCCTGCCAGGCAGCCATGGACACGGTCATCTCTATCCGGAAGGAGAGGAATTTGTCTTCCTCCAGCATGTACATCTTAACCTTGGAGAATACACAGAGACCAGATGAGAGGCGCGTCCTGTTCGACTAATCATTTTCACCTTAGCGCAACATTGCCAAACAGTTTTGATCTCTCTCCCTCTTTCCTCCCCTCCTTCCCCCGCCCACACACAGAGCTTTAATTACATCAGCATGAACTTCCAGCTAATTATCACGGGACATCATAGAAAAATAGAGCTGGAAGGGACCTCCTGGCTGACCGTGCACAAAACCTGCCTTTTAATTGAGCTGGCACTAGTGACATCGAGTCATGGGAGTAAAACACAAGCAGGAGTCTGCGAGAAGTTTCCAGGATGACGTCCGTGGTCTAGGTGTTCAGAGCATCAGGGTCGGATCAGTTAGTTTTTACTAGCAGCTAAGGAGGAGCTGGCTTTATTTCAGGAACGACAGCAGGTATCTTTGGATACCTTTCCAGGGGCATCCCTGAAAGCTACATGCTTTACATCTGCACTGCTGTCACACATAGGAACGTGTGGACGGGGTGCAAGTTCGAACGCATTTGCACTTGCTAGTCCTTAACCACATGTTCCATGAACACAAGCTTTTTACGCACAATCCCACTCAGTCAAGCATGTTTGGATACAAGAGGCTTGAAGTACTGGGAAGGAAGAAGGAATGACTGAACCAACACCTGGGGCAGAGAAGGAAGGGGCGTTCTCCATACAACAGCAGAAAGTCCCCGACTTGTGGGCAGGGGGCAAAGCTGGCTTCAATACCTTGTCTATCTCTGTGGCAAGTACCCAGTTGGTTTTCGCTACAAGAGTCTTCAGTGCAGACACGTTGTTGTAGCTCAGATACACCTACATGAAGAACACAAGTAAACACAACAGGAGCCACTTTGAACTGCTTTTCCTACAACCAAACCCAGCCCACACGACAGTATGACTTACGGCTACTTGAACGCTGAGTTAGTTAAAAGGGAAGTCAGAGGTTAAAAAGGAACTCAGCTTTCCAGTTAAACTCTTCACAGCGATCGTTACGATGCACGTTGCACTGACCAATAAAAGTTTGTGTCTGCCCAGTTTCTACAGACAGCGGTTTATCATTGATAACACTTCTTATTCAGTTCCATCACTGTTACAGGGTCCTTTGAAACTGGCTGGAAAGGATCTTTAGGTGCTGGTTAGTCCCCACTGCACCTTCCCAAGTTTGCACAAACCTAAGCCTTGACATAAGTTCCAGGTAGCCCCCGGGCCTTACTGTACTGCATGGGGCGTACTGGGGAGGACAGAGCCAACAACCACAGACATTTATGTTACCTTGTTGCTTTGGTCCCAGGGCACAGACAGCGGGACTTCGGTCTGTTTACAGGAAATGACGTATTTCCTATGGAAAGCAAAGAGAACAGTATCGGTTACTGCCGCTCCGACCTCCAGCAAGGAAATGTTCTTCTCTTAGCTAGAGACTGGAGAGAGAAAGAGCGGCTATCAAGTTTTGACTACAAGGCCTTGTTCAGGAACAACAGCCCAAAGATGTTGCCTTAAAGACATCTTGGCACAAACTGCAGCAACAGTTTCCAACCTTAATTCTAGAAGAGCTTTAAAAGGGGAGGAAAGTCCCACAATCACCTCTTTAACTGATGGGGAAATTAAGGCACAGAAGGACGATTGGCCCAAGTTGCATGACAGAGTCAGGAACAAGTGCCAAGCCTTGGCAAGGTTAGTAAGAGTAAGCACTGCAGCATCCCAACATGGACCCGCTGGCTCCACACATTTATTTCTGCCATCTTTTACCTACCAGATCTCACTGTTTTGTTTTTTGCTCCAAGAAAGTCACGGGCAGTAATCCTAACCTGGATGCAGGCTGGCCAGGCTCCTGAGCAAGCCCCTTATCTTTGCCTCAGCTTCCTCAAGATGATGAGCGAGGATAATAAATAAATGAGCCTCCTTGGCTCACAGGAGGGAGGTAAAAGTGAATGCCTATGCAGCATCTCCAAGATGAGCAGTGCTTCAACATACTCCTCGTTTCCGTTACTATTCTGAGTTACTTACTTAAAGAGATGGTGCATTACTTACCATGATATCTAGACATCACCATGTATTCAGCTTTACATCTGATGCAATGTGTACATCACACCCTTGTACGCTGGACCATGTACTTGGGGTGATGCAGTGAGCACACCCTTGTGCACTGGATGTTGCTCTCCCTTCCCTAGCAAAGGCTGAATGTTCACACTGCTCCTTCTCCAGATGGCTTTAATGCAGCATTGTTGTCTTGGGAAGCCTAGCCTTGCGTCCTCACCCTGGTCCCAGTCTAAATACTCTAATACATTAGAAACAACTGGGTAACACAGATATGAATGCTCTGATTGTTCCCAGTGACCTAACAGGAGGCTGCAGAGGTTTCTGATGTGACCCAAAGACAGAAGCCAAAACCAAACAAACAGAGACTCTATTTGCAAAATAAATCATCACAGGGCCACGTCCCAATTAGAGCTCTCCACAGGCCCCTTTCCATGAGCCCCTGCTTCAGACAATAAGCTGGCCAAGGAAGGCAGCCTGCCTTGTGGCATTTAGGAAGTTTCCTGAATGCTGACCTATTTTCTCATACCCACCTCATGGAGGAGGCTGGACAGTGAAGCCTTCCCAATGTCACACCCCTATGTTCCAGACCCACGCGCAAGAGGTGTTACATAGCTGTTATCATTAAAGGGTGCTTTGTGAGAGCATCTGGCTACAGATTTAGAGGCGAGAGTGTTGGTCTTGCTCTGGACTTATCCCTTGTTGACCTAGCTGTAGGTGGATCACTTGGTCATTCTGGTCAGGGAGTCAAACGTGGCCGGGGGTGAAGCTAGTCGTATCACTCCTAGGTGTGGCACTGGACCACTGTCCCTAAAGTACACTAGTTTGACAGGCTGCTAGCTCAGGATTGACCCCTGACTTTTTTTTCTTTTTTTTTTTTTTTTG